GCGGAGGGTTCGGATTAGGTCGGGCATGTCCCCCTACAGGCGGATGTTGGACGAATAATTAGAAGTACCCCAACACAAGTGATCAAAAGCATATTCGACAATGGTCAACAAATCGTCGCCAGACTATGTTTTGACTAGTTTGGGGTATTCCTCCGATAGAGGGACAGGCCCGACTGAAGGTTAGGAAAGAGGGTCCCACAAAGGGTATGACTCAAGGCGGAGAGGTGGGCGACGGAGGGCTCCGATGAGCACTTGCCTGTCAAGTGGCTAGTTGTATCAACCGTCTTGAGACAAGAGAAGATATGACGGCCCCCTCCGACGGTGTTGCTGAAGATACGGGCAGATGGAACAATATATGGGCCAGACGGCCAACCGATTACATGCAGGGATAGTGCCGTTTATTTGGGGGGATTCATTCGTATTGATGGGAAGCCTCGGGCGGAACTTACGCGGCGCCTGGGGGAAGCAAAAGGGACATTCCAGAAGTTGGTCAGAGTCTGGAGCCACGCGAACCTCAGCAAAAAGCATAAGCAGAGGGTGCTGGAATCATGCGTCTCTTCCAAACTCATGTATGGTCTGGAGTCCTGCATGCTCTTACAAGCCGACAGAAATATAATCGACGGCTTTCAGGCCAGATGCTTACGAACGGTATTCAAGATTCCACCCGCTTTTGTGTCACGTGTGAGCAACGCAGAAGTTCGTGAACTTGCAGAAGCCCAGCCATTGTCGACAACTTTACTTGAACGGCTGATTAAAAGTATATGGAAAACTTGCTCGGGACGGCCCCGCAAGCCTACCAAGAACTATGGTGTTCGAGAGTGGTCAAGGTCATGACGTTTTACCTCGAAACTGGAAGTCGGCACGGTCTCGAGGACGCCTCCGTCTGCAATGGACCAGCTATATGCACGCAGAGGCACTCGTCGTGGCAGAGAACGACCCGGCTGCATTACAGACGCTCTTGCAGAACATGCCCATGTGGGACGAAGCTGTTGAGCGGCATTGTGCACAATAGTTCGGCAGAGTTTCCATATTTCTCCTTCCCCCTCCTCCTCCCCCTCCTTCTTCCTCGTCCCCCTCGGCCGTGCGAATCAAGACGTTTTAGCCACACTTTGTTCGAGACCTTGCGCGCAACCCGCGGGCCCGATACGAATCAGGGCAAATTCATACCATACGCTGCTGGCAGTTCTCCCTCGCACCACGCTGGACCAAAGCAGCGGGCGTGGAAGATCCGAGGCGCTGCGGTAGCACAACCTATTTTCACACGCAAGGCTACCCTTCTTTGCCAATGCGCCGTCTAGGCGCGGCTTCTGTCTGTCTGTCTGCCTCCGTTGCGGCCAACACGTGAGAAGCAACGAGCGACATGGATGAGCGACCTAGCTGGCAATGGTGAGGAACACCACGGAAACGCCGGGCCCAGCATAATGTAGCAGACTTTGTCCACTCACGAAACTACCGCACGCTGTGCATCAACAAAACTTTGATCCGCGAGCATGCCCGTCCTCCTGCTCAACTCCCCCTTTCACCTGCCTCGCTGCCTCCTCCCTCCTCCCCTCATCACTCCTCGCCTCCTCCTTCCTCCTCCACCTCCTCCCCAGGGTTCCCCGCTGTACGAAGTCTGACCGGGACGGTCCCTTACCGACTCCCTGCGGCCGGCGTCCCGCCTCCCTGGCTTTGAGATGTCGCTTCTTCGAATGCTCAGCAATATCGTTCAACAAGAACTGCATGAACTCGTGCGCGTCCTGAGGGAATCCCGATTCTTACGTCAGTTACCCGCACGCATCTCTGCGTCTCCGCTGCCATGCAGCGCAGGCCCGCCCTGCTCGAAACCCAGGAAGGGAGGGAAAGGTGAAATGTGCAAAGAGAAGGCTGGAAGCAATGGGACTCCAGCACCAGCTCGTGACTTACCCCCCTTCTCTCGTCTTCCTCCTCCGTTCCCTCCTCCTGGGGAACGTTGGCACACGGCGCGGGTGGCCGCTACCCCGCGGGGTACAACCACTTACGGACAGCTTAACGGAGAGTTCCTCAATTGCCTCCCCCCCTCCTCTCATCCTCTTCCCAACTCACTCCCTGCCTGCCTCCAGCATCTTTCCCTGCCCACCTTCCTTCTGTTAATCCCTCCTCCTCCCTCTTCCTTATCCTCCTCCTCCTCTTCTCATCCTCCTCCTCCATCCTTCCCCATCCTCCTTCGTCCTTCCTCACTTCTCCTTCTCCCGACTCGACAATGCATTTTCCGACGAGTGCTCAAGCACCGCGCGCGACGTGGGACCGATCGCCGCGCAGGGCCGGATGCCACCTCCGCGGGCGAAAGAACACGGAACGGGGGGACGAGGCACCCCTCCGATGAGATATCTTGCTCTTACCAGCTTGGGCTCCGCCCCCAGGAGGAAACAGGGAACTGCAGATCACTTCGGCGCTACCAGTCGGCGTGGGCTCCATGAAAAGCCGGCGCTCCTCGTTCGTCCTCCTCGTTCCTCCTCCTCGCTCCTCCTCCTCCTCCTCCTCCTCCTCCTCCTCCTCCTCCTCCTCCTCCTCTCCTCTTCGCCTCCTCCTCCTCCTCCTCCTCCTCCTCCTCCTCCTCCTCCTCCTCCTGATCCTGATCCTCCTCCTCCTCCTCCCCTCCTCGCTCCTCGTCCTCGATCCTCCTCCTCCTTCTCCCCTCTCCTCCTCCCTCCTCCTCCTCCTCCTCGCTCCTCCTCCTCCTCCTCCTCCTCCTCCTCCTTCTCCTCCTCCCCCTCCTGGAGAACCATAATGGGCTTTGGAAGCTCTTCCGACACCGGGCCACGGGCGAGCCCTCGCGGAACGACGCCCCGGGGGGGGGAGCACCTGGGCCAAAGCCACCGGCACCCCGAGCACAAAAAAACACGCGCGGCCCAACGAGACTCGAGTAGACCCAGCCTCGGGGCGGATGTTTCCGCCCAGGGCCATTCTCCTGGCTGCCTCGGAGCGCCGGGGCAAGGAACAAATCCCTTCCCCGGTAAACTTCTCCATTCCCCGGGGAACTGGTCCGCTTCCCAGTTGCAGGCTCAGAAGATCCTGAAGCTTGCGAAGCTGTACGACCTTCTCTCCAGTCGGCAGCTTCTGAGGCGCTTCTTAGCAGCTTTCACGGCGATGCCTAGCAGCTGTTAGGGCGCTCCTTAGCAGCTCTTAAGGCGCTCCTGGGCAGCTTTAAAGGCGTTCCTTGGCAGCTTTTAAGGCGCTCCTTAACAGCTTTTGGGGGCGCTCCCTAGCAGCTTCCGAGGCGCTCCTTAGCAGCTTTTGAGGTGCTCCCTGGCATCTTTCAAGGCGCCCCTTAGCAGCCGTCGAGGCGCTCCTCAACGGCTTCTATGGCGCTCCTCGGCAGCCTTGCGGGCGCTCCCCAGCAGCAGTGAAGGTGTATTCGGCAGCCTCCAGGGACCTCCAGGGCCGGGCGCGAGCCGAGGGCAGGGGGCCAGGACGAGGAGGGGGGGGGGGGGGGCAGCGCGTATCATGGAGCGCGAGGCCTGTGCGCGGATGGGGGGGAGGGGCGGGGGACGCCACTGACCCAGGGCTCGACCTGAACGCGGTTGTCTGTTTTCGTCTTCATTTCGTTTTGCGTCGTGCTGTCTTCGGTCCGCCTCTGCCGCAAAACGACATCAAAACGAAAACAGTTCTCTAAATCGCCAAAACACCATATAGGTCGAGTCCTGCATTGAACCAAGAGAACCCTGAGATCCTGGCCTCCTTTTTTCCGAGCCCGACGCTTTCGCCTTTTTTCGGGCCCCGGGACCCTCACAGGTCGATCCGGCTCGTAACACGACGTAGAAGGACGGGGCCTAGGGCTCGGGGCGTGAACTTTTTACGATGTTGCCATGTATTCGCTACGTCAGATCTCAGGGAAGGGGGCAGTGAGATCGGGGAAGTGGGATTGCCCTGGCCATGATTTGGGTGTCCCAAAACCGTGTGGTGACAGACCCGGCGGTGACCGCGAAATCCGCAAAGACCTCACCGCACGGTCCGTCACCGCACGGTTTTGGGACCCTGGAGGCTCCAGTCGCCCGAGACATCCTCGGAGAACGACCCAAGTCCCAAAACCGTGTGGTGACCCCGAATCCCCACCGACGCACCACACGGTGTGGTCACCACCCCGTTTGGGAGCCCCCGAGTGATGCTCATGCCCCCCCTGCAGCGAGACCGGAACATGAGGATGCGCGGGAAGGACGCAGGGTCCTCGGGCGTCCACGCGGAGGCCGACGGCTGAGAGTCAGGATGGGCCGGGAGGCAAGGATGCACTGGCACCCTTCGAGTGTTACAGTCGGGGCGTTGACCTAAGGAACCCTATATAAGGAACGAGGCCCCTTTTCTCCATGAGTTCACCCTCGATTACCCGTCGAGAACAGAAGGAAAGCCTGAGGCAAGCTGTGCAACACTTGAGGAACGCGGAGCCCCTCCCCATCGAAAAGGGTTCCTTCCTCAGGGCCCCGACTGTACACGCCGTTCGAAAGAAGTGGGTAAACACGGGAAGTAGGAAGGCGGATCAAGTAGATTGGATTCAGGCCCTCCCAGATAATGGCAACAAACAGTCAAGGCGCATCGATTCGCAGAGTAGGAGGGCGCTAGAAGAAGACTGGGATCTGGGGGTCCAAAAATACCTACTTTGAACGACCAGCGTGTAGTCATCGCTCCCCTCCTGGGGACCCCGGGCGGGGGGATAGGACGACTCACCGCCCGTCCCTCCCCGGCCGGTGGTCAGCCAGGCCACCCTCCGGGCCAGACAGCTGGCGGAGGAGGAGGAAGAGGAGGAGGCGGATAAATAGCAGAAGAGGAGGAGGACGATGAGGAGGAAGGGGGGAACTTCTCATCTCCTCTCCTCCTGCTCCTGCTTCCGAAGTTCCTCCTACTCCTCCTCCTGCTCCTGCTCCTGAAATTCCTCCTCCTCCTCCTCCTCCTCCTCCTCCTCCTCCTCCTCCTCCTCCGCGCTTCCTCTTCGCGCGACGCTACCTCTGAGCAGTCCTGCAGCCAGCGAGGTCCGTCCCCCCCCCCGATCAGACGCGCCGCAGGGCGGACACGTCGCTGGTGAACTCCACCAGCCTGGCGACTTTCGACGCGATGCCCCCGCATCGCCCCCGCAGCTCGCCGTAGCTGTACGTGGAGCCGACCCTCAGCTTCAGCTGCAGGTGCAGCGCCCTCACCACCTTCTGGCGGCGCGCCGAAGGGGGCCTCGCCATCGCTCGGACGTCCACTCCCCGTGCATGTTTCGGCTCCGTGCGCCGATTTCCCGCGCAAGGATCCCAAGAGGCCCCTCGATGGCCTTCGCCGAGGACAATCGCCCGCGCCCGAGCGATGCCACGGGGCAGGGCGACGAGGGCGCTCCGCCCCTCGGGAGCCCCCCCCACCTGCCTCCCGAGAGGAGGCTCCGCACGGGGCTAAGGGCACCTGCCCCCGCAGAACCAGGGTCAAATCGGGCGTGTCCTCCTACAGGAGGACTTCAGACGAAAACTCAAAAACAGGCAAGCATACCCAAACCATAATCAAACATATCTTAACCATCGCCCCCATGTGACCATTCTTGCGCATTCCTCCTGTAGAGGGACAGGCCCGCCTTACAATCACGGCCGCCCCCCTCGCGCTGCCCGCCCCCCGCGCGCCGCCAAGCCTTGAACCTGACGTCCTCCCCCGGCTCGCCTCCCAGCCCCTCCTGGGCCGCGGCGTCCCCCTTGGCCGCGCCCCATGCCGCAGCTGCCCCTCCAGCCGCGACGTCCCGTTCGGCCGCCGCGGCGGCGGAGTCTGCTGCCGCGGGCCGCCTGCGCACGCGCGAAGCCCAGGCGCCCGCAGCTGCCCGGCGCTTGCAACCAACCGCTGGCGCCGACTGCTCCCCTGCCGCCGCCGCCGCTGCCGCCGTCTCCGGCGACACCGCTGGGGGCAGCGATGGGTCCTCCGCGTCGGCTGCCACTGCGGCCACATCGGCCGCCTCGGCCGCCAATGCGGCCCCTTCGGCCGCCTTGGCAGCGAGCCGCCTGCGCGGGGGCGCCGGGCGCTGCGAGCCCGCGGAGGGGGGCGGCGGCGGACACCTCGGCACCGCTGCTCCGCCTGGCGTCCGCGGCAGCTCCGCGGCCAGCTCCGCTGGCAGCACCGCTGCCGCTCGCCTCCACAGCTCCGCCTCCTCTGGCACGGCGGCCAGGCTGCGCAGCAGCTGCGGGAGCTCCGGCAGCCCGCGCGCCACTCCGAGCACGCCCGCCGCGGCCGCCAGCCGCAGGGCGTCGCCGCTGGGCAGCGGGCCCAGGGGCCGGCCCGCGTAGAGGCGGTGCGCCAGCAGGCCGACCTCGGCCGCGCTGCAGGGCACGCTCACCCGCGGGCTGCCCGTGCCGCGCCCTGGGGCGCCGTCCACCAGGCCGCGGAGCAGCGGCGCCCGGCGCAGCACGGCCCTGTGCAGGTAGACCGTGGAGTCGCTGAGCTGCACGGGCAGCGCCGGCTCCATCAGGGCCTCCGCGAAGTGGCGGGCCGCGCCGCTCTCCTCGCCCGCCGCCTACGGTCGCCGTCGCCGTCGCCGCCGCCGCAATCGTCGTGGCGTCGACGTCGACGTGGCGCCGCTGGGGCGTCGTCACCGTCCTGAGACAAGCGCGTCCCACTACTCGCAAAGTAGATGCTCGCAAGTGGCCCGGATCCGCCGCGGGGGGTCTACGATCCACTACATCGATGCATACCCGTGTTTCTGTCGGACGTTTGCGAGCAGTCACCTTGCGAGTAGTGGAACGCGCTCGGTGCATCATGGCGTCGTCGTCGTGGCTGGCCGTGGCGTCGGCGTCTGGCGTCCAGATCTCGCGCGGCTCGCCCGAGCGAGCCTCTGGCCGCTCGGCTGGCCTCGGCCGAGCCCCAGCTGCGCCCCTGCGGACCGCTGGCCTCGGGCTGGCTGCCGGCCTCGGACGCGCCGCCGGCCGCTTCCCTGGCTGCGCCCTGGGCGTGGCCCTGGGCGCCGCCCTGGGCTGCGGCGCGGGCCTCGCCTCGGGCTTCGACATGGGCCTCGCCCCGGGCTTCGACTCCCCTGAGACCCGACGTCGCACGAAGCACGAAGCACGAAGCACGCCCGCACATGGGCACCGTCTGGGGTGCTGCGGGTGCGGCGCCGGAGCGCCGGATCAGGTGTTGCCCGTGAAGCTGGAGATCATGCCCTTGAGGCTGGAAGTCGAGAGCTGGAGGCGGAAGCCTGGATGGTGGTAACTGGCGGTGATTGCTGTGAGTCTGAAGCTGAAGGCTGGGGGTCGGCCGCACGATGCGACATCGCAGAAAATCACGACCGAAGCCCTGGACCCCATCTGTCTGCATCATCTTTCGAGCCGGATCGATCTGTGAGGGTCCCAGGGCCCGAAGTTGAGCGAAAACGCCCGTTGTGAAACAAGTGCGACGCCAGGATCTCAGGGTCGGGCTTCGCGCTGGCAGGAGGGCACCAGGCATGCACATGCACAGGCCCCGGGCAGGGCCCATCCTGTGTGGCCAGGAGCCTTGCCAGGATCGATGTGTATGATTGGCGCCCTCGGACCTGGGTCTCGCCCTCGGCGGCATCCGTAGAAGGGCGGGCGGTTGTCCGCCCGTGCCGCGGCGCAGTGCCTGAGCCATGAGGGAGGAAGAGCAGAAGAGGAGCGAAGGAGGAGGAGGAGGAGGAGGAGGAGGAGGATAAAGGACGAGCACGTGGAAAAGGGAGGGATTTGAGGACGGAGAAGAGGGACGAGACGAGACGAGACGATGCTACCCTACATGCGCCAAGTCGCTGTCCTTTGATACACAAGACACCTGCAAGGATGGGCCCGAACCTCGCGCTTGAGAATAGGAGTGCGCGAAACAGCTATGATTTGCATCGATGATACAATCGGACCTAGGCCAAAAGGACATCCCTCAAGAACACGAGATCCTCCGTCGGCAAGAACAAGCAGAAAATACAAGGGTACCCTTCCCAGGATGCACAAACATATAAGAGCGTACAACAAGCACGAAGAACAACAGGGTACCCTCCCCGAACCGACCTCGATCTTATATCTCGGCCCGGCTCCGACTGCACACATTCATACATGCATGCTTGTATGTGTAGATCCAAGAAGACATGAAAGACTGCATTGGCCCTTCGCGCCATGCACCATGATCGTAATAGGAATTGGCATGCGGGCAGTGGGTCAATAAGGTAAAATTTAGCAGTTGGCGATACCTCGTTCCTGCTTTGTTCGGGCAACGTCGTCGCAATCATGCTGTTTCCTTATCCTTGCATCATGTTTCCTCTTTCTCTTCCTCATTCTCGCCCTACCCCGCGAGTTCGTCCCTATCCTCAACTCTTTTTGTGGAGGCTCATCCTAAGAAAGCCTCTTGGGAGCTTCACAAGAGTCTTTCAGGGCGTGTTGGGACTTTGTGGGGGCCTCCTGGGTTACTTCTGGGTGTCTCTGAAGGCTTCCCCAGGCCATCCTGCTTCAAGCCGCGGTCTCCCTGAACGCCCGAGTTACGATGTGGAATGATTCGGGGAGGCGTCTTGGGGCCATCTCGGGCCGTCATGGGGCTCTCTTCGGGTCATCTTGGGGCCCTGTTGGGCCGTCTTGGGGCTCCTCTTGGACTGCCTAGGAGCCCTCTTACCGAAATGATGTTGTGCGACTCTCTGGCCGCCCGGGCGGCTTCGGACGCCGGGAAGACCGAAGAACAGAGCATTTTCAAAATCACACACAGAAGCTATAGGAAATCACAGTGTTCTGCATTTCGAAAGCGGGGGTCTTCTTTGGTCGTTGGTAGGCGGCGGGCGAGGGGGGGACATGAGAAGGAGAAGGCCTTCTCAGAAGGCGGCGGGACTTCTCAGAAGCCCTCGCGCCTTCTGAGAAATTGTTCTTGTCTTCGGGGGAGGCTTAGGAAACTTCTCAGGAGGCCGGGGGACTTCCGAAACTTCTGAGAAGGCCCGCCCCTTCTCACTTTCCCCCCTCGCTCGCCCCGCCCCTTCTCACTTTCCCCCCTCGCTCGCCGCCGATGTGGGTCGTCTTCGGTGTCTGCAGCCTCTGTGGGCTCTCGCGGGGCCCCTCGGCCACCCTCCTGACCGATTTGGGCCCGCTGCCTGGGCCCAGCATCAGGTCGGGCGTGTCCCCCTACAGGCGGATTTGGGACGAAAAATGTATATTCCCCAAAAATAAACCCAAATAGTCCAAAAATAATCAAAACATAGTCCCCGGACTATTTTCTGAATATGTTTCAGTGTTCCTCCTGTAGAGGGGCAGGCCCGACTGAAGCCCAGCAGGGGCTTCAGGAGCCTCGGAAAGCACAGGCGACCGTCTGCAAGGGCGTCCAGGGTGCCCCCCGGGGCCGAAGTTCCGGGGGGCCCGTTTAGGGTGGGGGGGTCGCAGAGCCCCAGATTATAGAAACTGTAGAAGACGGATTATATACGATATATATATATATACACATGCATGCATACATGTCTGTAAATATACATGTGCACACATGGTTATACACACGCTAGAACCACGTGCGCGCCTCGCCGCCCGGCTTCTGTAGAACACATTCGCAGCGGACGCGTCATGGAACACGGCACGGGTGACCGAACCGGGAGGCCCACGTACACAAACAGACATCACGAGTCGACGAGCAAATCACGAACACACATGTTTTTTGGTGATTCCAGGTTCTCATAATTTCGGTTCTAGGTCCTCATATCCTTTCGCTTCCTTCTTGTTCGTCCTTTCCTCCCTCTCCTGTCTCCCCTACCTTTCCACTCATCCCCCTTCCTCGCTCCTCTTCGTCCTCTTGCAAATTTAGAAAAACGATCGTGACGGAGATGGGGCTCTGTCTTGCCCGATGGACTCCAAAGGACGGGGGCTACGTTCCGGCGACTGCATCCCCCGCACTTTGCTGCAGCCACGCTTTCACGTGGTCGGCGAAGCTCTTGCCGCGGAGAATCCGGATTGGTTGATGGATGATGCGGAGCAGGACGCGAAGATGGAGGGGGCGCCGCCCACGTCGGTGGCGGCCGGACCCGGCTCCTCAGCGGAAGGGCGTCCTCCGGTTTCTCAGGGCCAGAAGGGGACCATCCCCCGCGAGACCCCGGTCGTCGTCGTGGACCGTGGACGGGCAAGGCTTCCAACCCATGCTTTTCTGACCAGGAACGACATGGATGACGTGGCCTCACCGGCCCTAGGCCCTCAGGATCGGCCGCAACCAGGGCGAGATCCTCTACTGGGCCCTCCAGGCGTTGAACAGGGATGAGCTGGAGAGCAGTTTGCCCAGGAGGCGCAGAAGGAGGAGCAGCAGCGGGTCGTGGAGACGGCCGCTGGGGAAGGAAACGCAATGGCGGACCCTGTCGCTGTGGAAACTGTTATGAGCAGGACCGAGCAAGCCAGCTTTGGTTCTAAAACGTTCGTAGAAGAGAGATTCAAAGACCAGAGAGTGGAGCAAAATGCAGCCGCTCATTGGACTCCGAGTGGATCCAGGCGGCGGGGCAGGGGGCGACGCATGCTCTGAAGGCCCATCCTACAATCGAAACGCTGTCATAAGGAACGCAAGATTAAGAACGAGACCCCTTTTTTCCATTAGTTAAACTGCGATTTCCCGTAGAACACCTAAGGAGCACCTACGACAACCTGTAAAACAATTCAGGAACACTGAGCCCCTCCCAACGAAAAGGGTTCCTTCTTCAGCGGCCCGACCGCACTTCACTGCTGCAGCCCGCCAACGAGGCGCTATGGCCGCGGCAGCGGAGGCGATGAACGAAGCCGTGCGAAGAGCCCAAAAGGAAGAGAAGACCTGGTGACCTTCTGCCTGTCTTTCTACAGTACCGTGGAGAAAATGCCAGACCAGACCAGACTAGACCAGACCAGACCAGATCATACCAGACCAGACCAGGTCACACCAGACCAGAGCAGACCAGACCAGACCAGAATAGAACTGGACGACCGGCTCGCAATGGAGTCCACGAGCACGTCGCCGACAGCAGAGGAGGAGCGGGAGTGCAAGCCAGCCGAAAGCATCCCGGCGGGGGGCCTCGACGCGGCGCCCCAGCCCGAGGATGCCCTCGAAGATGTCCGCAGAGGGCAGCATGACAAGCGATGCGTTGTTTGGCCAGAGGCCTGGATGAGCATGGCTGAAACAGGTTTCCTCCAGCTTGGGCAGAGGATTGCTGAGAAGCTCGTATAGCAGAAATTGAGACGGCGCCGGAGAGAGCTGCAGAGAGGGCGAATTTGGCGGGCCCCGTCACCCAGACCGAGGCGACAGTGGGCATCAAGAAGCGCATCAAGCAGTGGACCGGGCGTGCAGCCGACGAGACCCGAAGCCTTGAGTCGTGCGACTGCAGTGCCCTGCGGAGCTGTCTGCTGGCAGCTGGCTTCTGCTTCAGGGAGAGCAGCGCCAAGTCGTTCCAGAAACTTCGAGAGCCGGAAAACTCAAACATAGTCAAGAACTACTCCAACATAGCCAACAAAAACTCAAAAATCGTCCCCTCAGCATTTTTGGACTGTTTTGGAAGATCCCCCCTGTAGAGGGACACGCCCGACTCAACACTGGACCAGGGGCTCCCATTGCCCAGTGCATCCAGCGCAGGGCTCCAGAGGCTGCGCGGCTTCCCCGTGCCTGATGCGGTGCGAAGCTGGGCACGACAGGGGGCAGCCTCGGCGCCGCGCTCGTGCACGCCCTGGGTGAGAGTTTGGCACCGGGCGCGTGAAGGGGCTCCCCCCGGCTCATGACGCAGACCCCGGCAGCGCGGCGTGCGGGCAAGCGAGGCCGCGACGGACCAGACAGCGGCAGCTCCGGCGGCGCCTCTGCCGGGCGCCTGCAGGCCGCGAGGCACGTGCGTGCAAAAGAGAGGCCGCGGGGCGGAGGAGGCCGAGAGGAGCCCGCCGGGAGCGCAGGGGCGTCGGCTCAGGACTGCGCGCCCGGGGGCGCAGGAAGCTCGGTGGCACGGGCACGAAGAAGGAGAGCTCCGAGGAGCACACTGCCACCGCCAGCCCTGGCCAGGCCCATCCTCGGCCCTGGCTTGGTGCACAGGCCCTCCTGGCCTGGGCCCGTAGGCCTGTGCGTACCACTACCACCATGCTCTTCCCCCCCACCTGGATGGGGCCTTTTTAGGCGCTGCCTCTGTTGTCCCGAGGTCTACACCCTGCGAAATGCTTAAGAAATCATGGGTTAAGAAATTCATAGTCTCAGAACTTGAATAAAAACCCAAATTTTCCATTAAAATCTTAGGAGTTACATTGAAACATTAAGAATAATCGAGACCCTGGCCGAAATTTTAAGTTTTCTTAAGCATCGCCTAAGGTGTATAGCTGCTACCCGCCGCGCGGCCTGTGAGCGAAGTCGCGGTTCACTGCGCACGCCCTACAGATGGACCGGCTCAAGGCTCGCAGGCGCTCTGCGGACGCACAAAGGCCCTGAGGTCCGACGTTGCGAAGAAAAGAGCCCCAGACCCCGCCTTGCTGCGTCACATTTCGAGCCGCATCGATCTGTGAGGGGCCTGGGGCCCGGAGAAGAAGGGCGACACCGCTCGGCTCCAACAAAAATTGAGAGGGGCCCGGGGCCCAGGATGAGCCTAGCCTTAGGTCGGGCGTGTCCTCGTACAGGGGGATTTTGGACGAGAACTAAAGAATAGTCAAACAATGCTCCCAAATGCTAAAGACAAATGCTCAAACGATCGTCCCCTGGTTATCTGTTTGACCATTTCTGAATATTCCTCCTGTAGAGGGACGTGCCCGACTTAAGCCTAGCCAGGGCTGGTGGTGGTGCATTGTTGGCGCCCCTCCGACTGCGGCCGCAGCTCCGGACAGCGCAGACTGGGCCAGGCCCAAGCGCAGAGCGCGGCGAAGGCAGGGCCCCCGAGCTCTCCCAACTCAGGGGTTCCGTCGCCGGACTCGTAGAGTCCCGAGCTTCAGGGGGGGGGCCTCGGCGCAGGAGGAGAGAGGAGGAGGAGAAGGAGGAGGAGGAGGAGGAGGAGCAAGAGGAGGAGGAGGAGGAGGAGTGAGGAGGAGTGAGGAGGAGCAAGATAAGGGAGGAGGAGGAGGAGGAGGAGGAGCAAGAGGAGGATGAGGAGGAGGAGGAGGAGGAGGAGGAGCAAGAGGAGGAGGAGGAGGAGGATGAGGAGGAGTGAGGAGGAGCAAGATAAGGGAGGAGGGAGGAGGAGGAGGAGGAGGAGGAGGAGGGAGGAGGATGAGGAGGAGGAGGGAGGAGGAGGAGGAGGAGGAGGGAGGAGGAGGAGGCAACGATGCAGTGAGCACGTCCCTGGCTTGCCAGAGCGGTCTCCAGAGCGCAGCACGTCGCCGCCCAGAAGGTCTCAACGATTCCAGACTACGCAGCTGGGGCGTAACGAAGAGTGGCATCCCTGACTGGGGCGCCAAGCAGGCTCGAGTCCGAGTCCAAGAGCTCGAGCTCGCGGACTCAAGCCCAAGCCTGATGCCCAAGCTCATCCTGGAGAACCCACCTTATGGTAAGGCATCGGGGGATCCACGCCGCATCGGCAGACTGGCCTGCGCTGAAACGGATCTGACCCTCCCTCCTGCCAGCGCACGCGCGCAGGAGCAAGGGTCGGCGACTCCGAAGGGTGTGCCTTGCAGAGGGTGTGGCTTACAACCGGCACCCTGGGGGGCATCCTGGGGGGCACCCTGGGGGGGCACCCTGGGGGGCGGGCGGGGACCTCGACAGAGTTCTCCGCCGCGCCCCGAGGAGGCCCGACGAGGACAGTGTCGCGCCCCCCAGGCCCCAACGGCGCCGACCGCAAAGCCATACCCCGGCGTAACCTCACCCTTTGTACTCGCCGACGCGTGAGAGGAAAGGGAGGTACTGCCCGACTACGCCGCTCCACTTCGAGGCGCTGGCGCCGGACACGATAGAGAAGCAGAGGCCCCATTCCCCAGGAGAGCCCAGAATCGAATCGACAAGTCGGATCGGCGATCGACATGAATCGGATCGGCGGAAATCGGCAGCCGAGCCGGGAAAAGTCGAATCGGCAGACATCGACAGTCTAGTAGGCCTCCACTGAGAAATCGGATCCCGAATCGGAATCCGAAATAGAATCGAACCGGCATCGGAATCGGAACCCGTCGAGATCGAGTCGAATCGAGTCGGCGGCATCGAAACGAGCCCTGCTCCCCCCGCCAACGCGCGAGTCCTCCTCTTCCTCACTGTCCTCCCTGCCTTTGTCCTCCTTGCAATGCCTCTGTCCTCCTCGCAACCTTTGGAGCCAGGCTCGGGCTGGCCCCTGGCCGCCCCGTGGCCAAAAACGCGGGCTACGCCACGGGGCTTGTCTCCCCCTCCTCCTGCGCCCTCCCTCCCGCCCCTCTCGTCCTGCGCCCACTTTTGTGGACATACCGCACACTGTGCCTCGGCGACGGCGCACCAGAGAGGACTCGCGAGTCCTGCTGCTCCGCGTTGCAGAACAGGTCGTTGGCCTTCCGCAGCCTCGCGAGGAAGCGTCTCGGCGTCAGGCACCCGACGGGGCGCTTCTGGCCTCCCGCCCGGCCCGCCGCGCCTCCGCGCGCGCTCTCCGCGCGCGCTCCCCACCCCCATTGCGATACGACGAAGCCAGGAGGAGGACACATTCGGGGGAGGATCAACCCAGACGGCCTAGATGACCTTCAAGATGCCCACGTGTTCCCCGAAGGCTTCCCAAACCGATTTGGGGAACACATGGTCCGATAGCTTGGCAGGTCTGGCCTCAACGTTCGGCCACACAGGCGCCTCCAAAAAGGCAGGGGGCGGCGGTGAGTCGCCGTGGGCGTCTTCGATAGAAAGGATAGGATGGTTCTCAAGACGAACAAGACTGGAACCAGGCGCGAGGTTTTTGGCTAATGGTCGGCCTCGGGGGGCCCTCGCCGGGCCTCGGGGCCGTCCACAAAAACGATGCAGCATGAAAAAGCCGATCCCAGGGAAAGGGTCGGGACTTCCAGGGACGCCGTCCTGAAAAAAACAGGACGTCGCATGTCCGGGAAGCCAGGAGGAGGATATATTCGGGGGAGGACAACTGGGCGAGTTCGGACACCCTGAACCCCAAAAACGTTTTCATCCCTTGGGGGGGGCACATGTTCCGCTTCCGCCGCCCTCCGCCGAGCCTCCTTTTTTGCTAACGCTACACCCTCTAAGAGTCCTTATGGATGTCTTGCGACGGGCCTTATCAAAAACTACCGATATCTCGGCGCAGCATAATTCATTCAAGACGAATTAGCTGGGGCCAGGAGGGAACGCAGAGGCAGGGAAGACGGGAAGCACTGGCCAACCGCCCACAGGGTCCCACCCCCGAGCACCCCCTCCTCTAAGGGGATGGCACTTCGAGAGCGGCCGCAGCGGGACCCTCTTGTCCCGCCGCAGGCCCTCGACCCAAAAGGTACCTAGCTTCCTCGGTCACTTGGGACCGTTCCAGATCTGAAAAACCTATCCAACCCACGGGGCTCGCTGGAGGCCTCGGCAGGGGCGTTCACTTCAGCTTGGAGCGCTTGAGGTGTTTCTCGCCGCCGCCGCCGCCGCCCTTGAACACCAGCTTCTCGAGCTCCTTCACGTCCCTGCTCCTGGGGGCGGGATCGTCCTCGAGCGCCACGTTCACTGACAGTACGGCCAGGCCGCCGTTCACCTTCAGGCAGTACATGGCCTGCATGAGAGGAGGATGCGCCATAGCAGCGAATATCCACTTGGTTCCTTCCACCGTCTTGCCGTCGACGTCGGTCTTCGTCTGGACGTCGAAGCAGCGAGTCGCTATGACCTGCACCTCCTTGCTGTTCAAGCTCTTGCCGAATTCGACCGCCAGGCGCATCGCCTCCTTCGACTCGGCTGGCTGCGGCCCCTGGGCCACTGCTGCGCGAACGTCCTCGAGCTTGCCCTCGATCGCCTCGCTCAGGCGGGACAGCAGCATGCGGAGGAAGGCGTCGGGCTTCTTCCCGAGCGGGCGGCCGTGATCCTCGCTGGGCTCGGCCGCGGCGCGCGCCTCCTTGCCAACCCTCTGGTAGTTCTGGATGCTCGCCGCGAGCGCCAGTTGCATCTGAGAGCCCGTCTTCAGTTTCACCACCACGTTCTGGTCGCGCTCCGAGCCCCTGAAGTTGTCCTCGTGGCGGAGCAGCAGCTTCGTCATGAGCTTGTCCTTCTTCGAGATGCCCGACTGCTCCACGTCCTCGTGTTCGGCTCCGCCCTCGCCGACCTCGGCCTTGGCTGCGTCCCTCTTCTTGATGATGTCCGCCGCGGGCTCGAACATCGGGAGGGGGCGCCGAGGGCGGCAGCGGTGGCCCCGCAGGTGGGTCTGGAGCACGCAGAGAGCCAACGCGCTGCGGGCAACGGTGTTGGACATGACGAAGAAGGACATCTTTGCGAGAGAAAAAAGCACTGCAGAAGGGGCATCTCTTAGCATTCAGATCGGCGATGGGGATATCCAACCGATTGGCAACAATGCCATGCACCGCAAACCTGTGATTCTCCAATCCTTTCTGGCCCTGGCATGCTTTTCCACAATCTGGGCAAACGAGGCGATGCTCTTCATCTATGACGCCAGCTTCGCGGAGTCGGTCACTCTCAGCTTCGTGTGAGAGGACGGCTTTGAGCTCTGCGTGTGAGAGCATGTCTAGCCACTCCAGCCAGTCTCGTGAAACTGTCGGTGAATCGCTCGGAGCGCGCGTCTGGCTCTCCTCGGGAAGGCAAGCCCACAACGCACGAAGATCTGCGAGAAGTTGCCCCATTCGACAATTGTGATTTCGACTGTGGGGGTCCTCGAACGAGAGTCGGCCGAAGATAACAGCCCGTACAGCCTCGGTGGGGTCATACTCTGGTCTTTCTGCTTGGAGAGCCCAGGAGCAATCACGTGTCGCCACCACTGCAGCCTACGATACAATAGAGTTGAACTCATACTATAGACTTTGGCACGACGTCGAATATCTACATTAGAGGCATGGTGAAGATGAGCAGGGGAGCGAAGAATATGCCGAAGTTTCTTGGTTTGCCACCGTTCGAGTTTCTTCAAATCCGTCTTCGTAAGAAAGGCAACTTCTAGTGCGTAGAGGGCGATAGACCGTACTAGCGAATTCCACAAGCGTATCTTGAGATGTAAACTGAGGTTCCCCTTCAGAACCTTCTGGGACAGCCGGCCGTGGGCCTGGTTGGCGGAGGTCAGGCGAGCCTTGACCTCAGCCGAAGACGACCCCGTCGCTGAGAGCAAACAGCCAAGGTACTTTACAGTCGGCGTCGGGTGGATCGCACGAGCCTGGCCGTCGGCGTGGGTCAAGCTAATGCCAGTCTGCTTAGCACTGATTCTCTTCCGTACCCGTCTGCACCCCTTCCCCACCACGTTCACCATCAGCTCTGTTTTCGGGACATTCATGGTTAAGCCGCTGGCATTAACGTGGATCCTCAGAAACTCTAGGAACTCGGATACCGTCGCTAAGTCGTCAACCACTGTCAAAGCGATTAGGTCGTCTACGAACTTCACCTGGGACGCATCTAGCATCCGCAACTCGATAGTGGAGAAACCGACTGAATTCCTGAATACCTGGAACTGGGGGTCGTACAGCACCTGGATGCCCTGAAAACCCTCCTCCAACGCCTTGGACCCGATGTCTTTGGTAATGAGATCGTAGATGGCGATGAAAAGCCCAGGCCCCTCCACACTGCCTTGTCTCACCCCTTTGCGAATAAGTAGTTGCCTACAAGGTTTGTTAGTACGGGCATCTCGAAGGATATAGCAGGTCCCGTTGTAGAGCTCCTCTGTAACTAAGCGGGTACAACGGGAGAGCGCCAGCCGATCTAACGCCTCCCAAACTTGACTTCGGGTCAGGAGGTCGAAGGCCTTCTCAAGGTCGATCAATGCTGCAATCAAGATGCGATAGTCGGTCTTGGTGCGACGGGGGTTTTCACGAAAACGACGGCCGATCTCGTCGACGAGGGCGATGGCGTCGCGAGTCGATCGACCTTGAAGGGCCCCAAACTGAGTAGCGGAAAGCCGGCCTGACATTGCCCGCAGCTCGGGCATGATGACCACGTTGGCGAAAGCCTTACCGATGTGGCCAATCAGGTTGATTGTCCTATAGTGATCCTTAGCATTCCTCCCGTCTCCTTTAGGTTTGCGTAATGAAACTGTCTCTCCGTTTTTAAACCTTTGTGGAACGCGGCGGAAGGCTTGAGCGGCCCGAAAGACTCCAAGAAGAGGCCCCCCTACAAGATCACTGCCAAGCTTCCAAAGTTCAGCTACTGCGCCTTCGGGGTCTGGTCGAGGCCCATTAGAGTTCGAGGGGTCCGTCCACTTCAGCACAGGGGCGCTCTTGAAGTTGGGGAGCCTGCTGAGGGCCTCGGTGATGTCGTCCACTTCGTACTGGCCTACGAGCTCCTCGTCTGGTTCCTCGGGGATGTCCTGGGGGCCTCCATCCTCTTGCATGGGCAACTCCGTGGCCTCGAAAATGGCACAGAGGGCATCGGTGCGGACCCGCTGGTCCTCGACGTCGTCGAAGCACGGGTAGCCCGTGGCTGGGTTGCGGACAGTCAGCATAGGCATGCGGGGCTTGGGCGCAAGGCGCTTGACGATCGAGTAGCAGCGTCTGATATCATGGACGGCATCGGCACGCTCTGCGTCGGCCACCAGGGCCGCAATGTGTTGTCGCCTCTCCGATCGCACTGCCTGCTTTGCTCTCTTTGCCGCCCGTCGGAACTGCGACAAGATGGATTTGTAGAGCCACGAGCTATGATCTATGATATTGGGAAGCATTCTCTGAAAGTACTGCTTGTGTCTGACCAACGCCAAGGTCGCGTCAGTGAGGTTCTTCTGTGGAGTCGCCTTTGGTGAATCTACATAAAGCGGGTAAGCTGCGTCGACTACTGCTCCTTCCACGGAGTTGTAATAGCTAGATGTCGTGGTATATCGTTGGTGGGTGCCACACTCTTGTTGCCAGTGTCCAGTGATGGCACGAGCTCGGAGCTCGCGGCGGAGCCTACTGCGAAAGTCTTGTACACGTGCTGGTACCTCATCCGAGTGTTGAAGGAGTTTGAGATCATGAAGCAGAAGGTCACGGTTCCACCGAACAGGTGGGTCCTGGCGAAGCCGCTGGCATCTAAATCGGGCTGAGATCGTGGCTTCGAGAGGGCGGTGGTCGCGAAATCCTCCCATGCTGACGGGCAGAGAATGTAGGACGCGAGCTCCATGTCCGTAGCCTCCTTGCAGTCTGGTGCAGATGTAGTCTATCTGATTCCATGTGGTGCCATCAGTGTGAAGCCAGGTCCCCGCATTCTTCTTGCGGCTGCCATGAGTATTCAACGCTGTCAAACCGTTGTTCTGAAGGACAGAAAGAAAGTGGCCGCCGTTCAAATTCGTGGTTCTCGGATGCCTATCGACTCCAGCATGGCCGACGTTAGGAAGTTCAGGCGCCACCGTACCATTGGCATCGAGACACCAAATCAGTGATGATCTCTGGGGCACTCGTCGTATGATGTCGTCACAGGTCTGCCAGAAAACGGCCTGCGCTTGTCTATGTTCAGCTTGTACTC